CCCCAAAACCCCAAAACCCCAAAACCCCAAAACCCCTATAAATTTTTCCAATATTGAGAGTCCATAGTGACGAATTTTAAATCAAATATGAGCAATTCAGACGATATTCATTTGCCACCTTTAAGTAATGTTCCTCAAGAGAGCGATGAGGACTTAGTCCAAGCTAATGATTTTGGAAAAGAAAATGACCTAGAAGTACCAGAAAGGCAGCATCAAATTCCTAATGAGAAGACCGCTGAAGAAAGAGCCGCTGAGATGGAAAATGAAACAATCCTGCATGCAAGTAGACCCTTCTTCTTTTCAATCTTCATTGTAAATGCTCCTTGAACTGTCCTAGCAATCTCTATTGCTGTGATGTTCCTTCTTTCTGTGATTACCTTTGTTTCTGGAGCAATGGAAAATAGCCAAGAGCACAGAAGAGATTACCTTGTGTGGGATGCTACCCCTGTAAAAGAATACGATATGCAATACTTGGCTGAAGAGAAAGTCCAGACAAACTATCCAGATGGGGTGCAACCTCTAAGGACTACACTTAATGAAGTGGAAACTACTAACCTAATCTACGAATGTGATAATTGCTCAACTTTGCTTACAGTAGAAAATCTGCAAAAGATGTATGAAGTAGAGAAGAAATTCTTTGAACTCGAAGACTACAGCAAGTTCTGTAAAGCAGCTAGCAGCACCGATTCATCATGAGACTCAAGTGGGTGGTCTTCCTTTGTTAAGAATAACTTTGAGTCAACCATTAGTACCCTCACACAGGCTCAGATTGATGCAAAACTGGCAGATATTTCAGCAAATTCTGCTGTGTACTATCAAAACAACTACTTCTTTGATGAATCTTTTTCACAATCCAACACTATTTCAAAGAAGATGAGATCTATATTTTTGTTTGCAAATCCAATTGAATATGATGGTAGAAGGTACAAAACTTTTAATGAGGATGAACGCGACCAAGAAAGTGCCTTTATTGAATTCTCCAAGAAAGCTAGAAGCGAACTCATTAATATGCCAGCAAACTTCGAAATTAAATTTTACAATAAAAGATGGTATGAAGGTGTTATTGATGATCTCACGCTTGAAGATGTAAGACTCTTGGCTGCTAGCTTCGCAGCAGTATTTATTTATGTAGCCTTCCATCTGCAGAGTGCATTCTTAGCATCTGTAGCTATGCTTGGCATTGCTTTATCTTTACCAGTGGCAGTATTTATTAACAGATTCATATTTCAGGTTACCATCTTTAATTTTATCAACTACATTTCCATCTTTGTGATCCTTGGAATTGCAGCTGATGACGTATTTGTATTTACTGATTGCTGGAAGCAGTCAGCAACTTTTGGCCAGCTAAAAGAAGAAGGTGACACAAAGATCGATTGGCTTCGCAAAAGAATGAACTATACATGGAGGAGGACATCCAAAGCTATCCTGACAACGTCTCTGACAACATGTATGTCCTTTTTAGCAACTGGGTTTAGCAAGTTATTACCAATCTCAGCATTTGGGTTCTTCTCTGCTATGTTTGTAATGATGCTTTACGTATTCACCATCACTATTTACCCATGTTGCATCATTCTGTTCGACAAATATCTAGTTAACAGGTGAAAGTATTGTCCATATATCAGATATCTCCTATTATGAAAATGCTGTTGTCACAGGAGCAAAGACTCCGAAAAAGAAAATGAAGATGCTTCGGAGAATGATAGTGAAAAATTTGAATCCCCAGTCAAAAAGTAAATTTCGCTGAATTTTTATTTCCAAAATTTTCCGATTATTTTTAATAATGGATAGTAAAAATGATATAGAGTTCCTTACATTTCCAGACCCAATGGAGACAACCCTTCAGGTCATTCTGTAAGGCAGAGTGACGGGTATGATACTAAGCCTAAGACAAAAGGATCCTCCAACAACCCCTCTGAGAATAACAAAGAAGAGGAAGATCATGATGGAGGTGAAGATTCCCAAAATCCAAATAATATTTCAAGAAGGATCTCTCATGAAATCGAAAACGAGATAGACAAAGGAAGGAAAGAGACCAAGGCCAACGATGATGAGCCGGAGATTGAAGAACTTACACCTATTGAGAAGTTCTTCCGCAATTATTGGAACTCATGGATGAACAAGTTCAAGTTCCTTATCTTTGCTGTCACAATAATCTGGGTAAGCTTTGCAATCTGGAGAGTTACCAGGTTCAAAACTGCTAAAAATCCTATTCAAAGACTTGAGAGTGACCATCCCCTCGAGGTTCTTGATCATATGGTCCAGAATGACTTCCATTCAGCACTGAATACTGGGAAAATAGAAGTCAGCTTTGTTTGGGGGCTTGAAGGATTAGATAAAAAGGGAGTTGGTAGATGGGATCCTACAAACCTTGGAAAACTTATTTACGATGATACTTTCAACCTTGCTCCTGAAGAAAACCAACAAAGACTCCTCGACATATGTGCTGACTTAAGAAACCAAGATCTGGTTGAGAACAGAGTTGTGACTTGATGGATTGAAGATTTTGTGGCAACTCAAGGAGGAGGATCTCCTGTCTCAGAAGCTAGTTTTTACACTCAACTTCAGGCATATATTTCCACTAGTCAAGGAAATGAATATTATACTCAGAATCTGATTGGATACTTCGATGGCAAACTTCATTTTACTCAGATCGTTGCACTGACTCCTGAGGCTCCCTTTCAAGGAAGGAAGATATTGCATCCAATTTATGGAAAATGGGAGAAACTAATTGACTCGTATAACAATGGCTCTCCAGAAGGACTCAATAAAGCCTTTCAGACAAGTGGATATCATTGGGCCTGGCTTGAAACTGAGAATGAGATGGTTAGAGGAGTCATAGTAGGGATCGTCATCTCTTTATGTTTTGCATTCTTAGTCCTTGTGTTCTCAACTCTGAACATAATGATCGCTCTCTACGCAGTCTTAAGTATCTCAGTCATTGTCACATCAGTTATTGCAGTGATGGAGCTTAACTCATGGGGTCTTGGAGTCATCGAGGCTATCGCAACTGTCATGATTATTGGATTCTCTGTGGATTATGTGGTCCATTTAGGCAACCACTATGTTGAATGCCCATTCGATAGCAGATATCAAAGAATGCAAGAGGCTTTGGCTAGTATAGGAATAAGCATAGTATCTGGAGCAATTACAACTATCGCTAGTGGAATCTTCTTGTTTGCAGCTGTAATAATCTTTTTCACAAAGTTTGCAGTCCTCGTAGTCTCAACAATTTGCTTCTCTATATACTGCTCTCTTTTCCTGTTTACCAGCTTGAATCATTTCATTGGTCCAGAGAAGCATTTCGGTGATCTGAAGTATTATATCGTGTCTCCATTATGGAAAAAGATCAAAGAAATATTTAATAATTGAAGAAGCAAAGCCCCTCAGCCAGAGCCTAATCCAGAGCATAATTCAAGCCAGGAGGCTCATTAATAACTTTTGTTAATAGAAACGTTATTGTTTAATCTACTTTTCTGGGATGGATTAGGATTAGAGCAAGGACATATTTTCACTTTTGTTAAAAATTCTTTCATAATTCGCAACATCGTGCAAAAATTGTCGTTCAATCATGCTGAAGTGACGTGGGGTTTTGGGGTTTTGGGGTTTTGGGGTTTTG